AATGGGAGGCTGTTGGTTGTAAGTTGGTTGCAAATTGATTGGTGGATCGCTTTTCCAGGAGTTATAATCCCTTCAAAAATAATTAAATAATGAAAATAAATAATAATTTGGTCACTCAATATGGATTGAGTGACCAAATTATTATTCATGACTGTTTGTGGGACATTGTTGTGCGCAATTGGCTGCCGCACTTTATCCATAAAATATACAGTCAATTGATTTTATAGTATATTCTTTGAAGCGCTTTGAGACCTCTCGAAGACATGATAAGGCGCTATATCAAATGAAAGGATTATTATTATTATTTAATGTCTATTGCTCCACACTCCGATGCAGTCCAAGGCTTATCTCGCAGCTATATCAATGTACAGGCAAATGCAGACAGCAATCCCTGGCAGCTACCAATGTTCACCCCCACCTTCACATATTGCATTTGCTGTTAACATTAGTAAACTGTTGTTGGCCAGACAATGTGTGACTCCCCCAGGCTGGAGAACACCAGGTGTTAAAAATATCTGCTCTCAGTTAAGCCAAGAGCACAGGATGAGAGGGCACAGGGTGCGAGAAGCAGGCAAATTCAGGACAGATACCTGGAAGTATTTCTTTCCGAATAGGGTAAGTAACAATTGGAATGGCTTACTGCAGGGAAAGATTACAAAGGCTGTACAGCATGGAAACAGGCCACTCGGCCCAAGCAGTCCGTACCGGTGTTTACACTCCACACCGATCTCCACCCATTCCTTTACTCCCTTGTGTTTGGCTGTATATTTTGTGGGTGAAACGCAGCAGCCAACTGCGCACAGCAGAGTCGCAAAATAACAGAAACATAATAAATTGCCATATTTAATTTCCCTTTCAAACATCTGAAAGCTAAACCCAATCCCTTCGGCCTCATTGACTAACCACTATTGATTGTATTTTGTTAACTTTAGATTCTTGTCAAGTTTGTGTGCATTTGATTTTAAAAAAAACGTATCCTTCCCAGATTATATACTTACTAAGCCAGGGTGACATGCTGCCAAGAGGAGAGCTTAGTAACTAGCTCTCAGGCACGTTAATAGTGAGGATACGCACCAAACTAGACTTGTCAGAAACCACAACAAATAGCACGACAAAAGCATTGAGAGAGTCAGAGAAACAGGGGGAAATAGCCTCAATTAAATTAGGAACATAGAAACAGGAGGAAGCTATTCAGTCCCTCAAGCCCATTCCACCATGGCTGATCTGTACTTGAACACGAAATACCTGCCTTTGCCCTATATCCCTTGATACCCTGACCTAACAAATATCTATCCACTTCAGTCCTGAGAATGTGAATGGATTCAGCATCCAAAGCCTTATGGGGGAGAGAGTTCCAGATTTCCACTACCCTTTGGGTGAAAAACTATCCTGTGATTTCACTCCTAAATGGCCTGGCTCTAATTTTAAGATGATGCCCTTGTTCTGGATTCCCCACCAGAGGAAGTAGTTTCTCTGCATCCATCTAAGATTTTAAAGGGGCGAGACAATGTAGATCATGACAGGCTGTTTCGATTAGTCCAGAATAGTGAAACCAGAGGACATGGCGTAAATTCACAACTAATCTATGGAAACACTATTTCAGTGAGCGAACAGTGAACCTGTGGAACAGGCTCCCTTGGGAGACGGTTGAAGCAGGAAATGTTGATTACTTCTAACACAGATTTGATAGTTTTCCTTTAGGAAATAACATTATGGGATGTAGTACATCGGGATTTCGGGACATATGTGCAGGCGTCTACCAGAAAGGTGGAAGGTGAACTAGATGGACCTTCATCTCTTTATCATCTAGCATTTCTTCTGTTCTTCTGTTCTTTGGTACCTTATCAAATCCCTTTATCATTTTTAAACACTCAGTCAGATTACCCCTCAACCTTCCAAACTCAAGGGAATCAAGTTGTGGCTCATCACTAGGAAGAATGTTATTGTTTGTTTCCTTGGGTGTCGCGGAGGATTTAAGGATGTTAGATGTTCACATGTTGTATTCAAATCCCAACCAGTCTGGTGAACTGAGAATCTTGGCACTGTGTCACTTGAATAGCAGTGTGCAAAGAGGTCTGAGTAGACTCAATCCAGTTTCTAACAGTCTCAGTGCCAAGCTGCATTTTTATACATTAATAATAATAATCCTTGCATTTGTTATAGAGCCTTATCACGTCGTTGAGACATCTCAAAGACGTTGATCACATCGTTGAGATGTCCTCTCGCTCTCATGGTGAGCCCTCTAACCACTATGCTAAGGGACTAACGCAGCATGACCAAATCCACCATAAGACCTGTAGCTCAGTGGTTAGAGCACTCGCCTTGCAAGCAAGAGGACGTGGGTTCGAATCGCAGCAGAGCAAACATTGGTCAAGTTTCCTTACTCCACATGCCTCTGTTTACCTAGCAGTAATAATAATAATAATAATACTAATAATCCTTGCATTTGATATAGCGCTTTTCACGTCGGGAGGACATCCCAAAGTGCTTCACAGAACACACTGTAAAGTGAATTGACTGTATATTTGTGGGCGAACGCGGCAGCCAATTGCGCACAGCAATGTCCCACAAACAGTCGTAGATTGAAAATGACCAATTTATTATTGTTTTTGGTTTTGGAAGGATTATTAAGTAAGTTGGAACCCTATGTAAGTTAGTCGATTGGCGGATTGCTTTTCCGAGGGTAATAATTCCTTCAAGAAAATAATAATTTGGTCACTCAATCCACAATTGTGTGTGGGTCACTGCTGGCCACAATTGGCAGCCACGTTTCGCCCACAAAATATAGAGTCAATTCACTTTACAGTATATTCTGTGAAGCGCTTTGAGATGTCTCGAAGACATAATAAAGCGCTTTATCAAATGCAAGGATTATTATGATTGTTATTATAATGCCGACACAGATTGGCAAACCAAGACTGAATTTAAGGATTTTCCAACATTCTCCAGAGTTCGTGAAGCTTTGAGGCAGTGCAATTCATACAAATTGTTGTTGCTTACATAAACAGAGAGTTTTAAAGGTTAAGATCAAAGTTGGCAGCAAGACAGGCACTTTAAAAAAGTTATTAAAAGGATTTAATTTAATTGAAAGAAAGTCACCTTTTGGAAGGCGTTGGAGAGAGACTTGGGTTGGACGGGGCTAACCTGTTGGAGCCCTGGAGCTAAAGTTAGCTTTGTTGCCTCTTTACTCAACTCAACACAAACAAATCATCACTCAACACCAGAGTTGCTTGAAACTGAAATACGTTTGTAGCCCAAAGTTCACCAAATGTAGCCCCAAAATAGCCCATTATTATGTGTTGCCTCCTTTGGGTAGAAAAGAGGCCAATTTAGGGTCAGTGCTTTTGCAATAAAAAGACTTCGAAGGTGGGGGAGAGAGAGAGAGAGAGAGAAAACGCTTTGCAGTTTTACATGAAAAATGTTAAAGTTCGGCAATCGCCCAAAAGCTGTTTTATTCCACCACTCACCGTACAACCAGAAACCCGCCCAACCCGCCCACATGGGATGGGCGTGTTGCTCCTCATGGTGTAGGGGGGGGGGTTGTGTGTGAGGAGGGGTGGGGTATGTGTGGGGGGGTGGGGTATGTGTGGGGGGGTGGACTGGGTGGGAGGTGTGTGTGGGGGTGGTGTGGGGTTGGGGGTGTGTGGTGTGTGTGTGGGGGGTTGGGGGTATGTGTGGGCGGGGTGGGGGTTTGGGGGTGGGGTGTGTGTGGGGGGGGTGGGGGGGTGGGGGTGTGTGTGGGCGGGGTGGGGGTTTGGGGGGGTGGGGTGTGTGTGTGGGGGTGAGGGGTGTGTGTGGGGGGGGTGAGGGGAGTGTGTGGGGGGGTTGGGGTGTGGGGGGGTGAGGGTGTATGTGGGGGGGGTTGTGGGGGGGTGAGGGTGGGTGTGGGGTGTATGTGGGGGGGGGTGGGGTGGGGTGGGCGGGTGTGTGGGCGGGGTGGGGGTTGGGGGTGTGTGTGGGGTGTGAGGGGTGTGGGTGGGGGGGTGAGGGGAGTGGGTGGGGGAGGGTGGGGGGGTGTGGGGTGTATGTGGGGGGGGTTTTGGGGGGGGTGAGGGTGGGTGTGGGGGTGTGGGGTGTATGTGGGGGGGGGTGGGGTGTATGTGGGGGTGTCGGGGTGTGTGTGGGCGGGGTGGGGGTTTGGGGGGTGGGGTGTATGTGGGGGGGGTGAGGGGTGTGTGTTGGGGAGGGTGAGGGGTGTGTGTGGGGGATGGTGAGCGGGTGTGTGGGGAGGTTGGGGTGTGGGGGGGTGAGGGTGGGGGGGTGTGGGGGGGGTGAGGGTCGGTGGGGGTGTGTGGGGGTGTGGGGTGTATGTGGGGGGGGGTGTGGGGGGGAAAGAGAAAAAAATTTTTGCCAAAGGTTTCTATTAAAATCAAAAATGTGAAACATTAAAAATAAGGCGCCGCCCAACTCACTGAAGCGGTGTGAGTGGGCGTGAAACCCGCCCAACCGGGCGTGAAGCCGCCCAATCTGACCACATGGCGCTAATGCTAACCGCCCGGTGGGGCGGGGGGCGGGGCGGGGGGCGCCCTCCCGACCAATCGCTTTGCCTGAACCCAATCTGTTAGCGAATGGTGTAAAATACAGCGCTGACCTGATCCCTGGGCTGACAGGGCTTTCGGATCTCTCTCTCTCTCTCGTGTGTGTGTATCAGATCGAATCGCCTGCGGCTAAAAATCGTTAACACCAACCAACTAAAGTGTTTTTTTTTCCCCCCCAAAAAAAAGATTTCTGTGTTGTTTTGATTATTATTTTTTAATCGGATTAGATTTTCTAATTAATTGGGCGGAGAGAGAAAGAGAGAGAGAGAGAGAGGGTGAGAGGGGGAAAAAAAAACCAAAGAAAAGCTAAACGAATGTGCGGATAAATTGTCCTTCGCGCTGGAGGGGAGGAAAGAGGGTAAATAAAACACAGAATTGTCTTTCTTTTTTTTATCCCCTTTCCCTTCTTCTCGAGGGGGGGAGAGGGGGAGGAGGAGAGGAGAGGAGAGGGAGAGGGAGAGGGAGAGGAGAGGGAGAGGGGGAGAGGAGAGGGAGAGGGAGAGGAGAAAGGGAGATTTTGTTGAATTAAAAGGATACGTCTCAAAATAATGGCAAATCGAGTGAATTCGTTGACGCCTTTTACAATCCAAGACATTCTGACCCGAAGCCACGAGTCCGGGATCAGTCGAATTGGTCAGAAAAGCATCAAAGTGGAATCCGGAGACAGACCGCGCGGGAGTGCGGGGCCCCGCGGGGAGTCCTCCGGACCTCACACCGACCCCGAGCAGCAGCGCACAGCGGTGCAAAGCACCAGCCCCCGAGCACCGGACACTCACCGGACACACGGGCAGGACATTGGCACCGACCCCAAAAACACGCACTTGGAAGTTCGGAGTTACACGAGTCAGAACTCGGGTGGAGATCACAGCACTGGGAAACCTGACACAGGTATCTGTCATCGCCAAACTCTCTCTTTATATAATATATATCATCGCCAAACTCTCTCTTTATATAATATAACATATATCAACGCCAAACTCTCTCTACATATATATATATACATAATATCTCTCAACATCTCTCTATCTGAGTGAAACTCTCTTTATATATAATATATATCAACGTGAAACTCTCTCTCTCTTTATATAATATATCTATCAGCGTGAAACGTTCTCTATATATCTATCTATCAATGTGAAACTCTCTATATATATGATATCTATCAACGTGAAACTCTATATATATCAACGTGAAACTTTCTCTCTCTTTATATATCAACGTGAAACTCTCTCTATATATGTATATTATCTCTCAACATACAACATCTCTATCAAAGTGAAATTCTCTTTCTCTCTTTCTCTCTCTCTCTCTCTATATATATCATGAAACTCTCTCTATATATATATATCTATGAACGTGAAACTCTCTCTATATATAGTGTAATATGTGTGTGTGTAATTTTTCTTATATTTACAGGGTGACCAAAAAGACGTGATACCATTACAATATCATAAGTTTTAAATTGATGATATTTTTGTTTGTTTTTAGATAATAGGATAGTTATCGCGACTTTTTGGTCACCCTGTATCATATATATATATGTGTGTATAAAATATGTATTTGTTTGAATGAAGGAGTTTTAAAAAGTAAAAAGAAGTTGTATAAGTTGTATCCAAACTGAAGCTTTCACTAAGTTATATTTTCTGGTTATCCAGTTTTCACCACCAGAAAAGAGAGAGAGAGAGAGAGCTTAACTGGGTCACTTCTCACGTAATCTTGTTTGTAGTTTGGGGGAATAAATATATATGTGTTTTGTTGAAAAAACACAAAAAAACACACATACCCAGAATAGAAAATAAATAGTGATATAAAAAGAGCCGGCGCTGAAAATGTTTAGCACAGTAACTGCTGGTGAGGAATGAATGAATGAGTGAATGAGTGAATGAATGAATGAATAATGAGAGGCCAGATGTGTGGCTTGTATTAAAGTGAAATGGACAAAAACAGCAGCAGAAATAGACAAGACTTAATAAGTACTAAGTCTTCATTTTTTATATATATTTTTGCATAAAATAAGTCTATTTTTTATATATCTTTGCATCAAAAAAGTCTGGATTTTTGCACACGTGGTGAGGAAAGTTATTGATCCCGAAATCCTGCTAATTTATACACTTTTCCCATTCCATAATAAAAAAAGCGGGTTTAATACTCCCACCAGGAATAGATTTATTTTTAAAATTGATTTTATCGACCGAAAGACTTGATGTGAATGAGTTTGTTTAACATATTAAAACAAACTGATTTCTACGTGGATTCCCTGCGATTTCTAGCAATAATGTTTGCAAATATGAACGTGTGAAACAATCACATACACACACTGGCGTTTTCCAACATTATTTCTAGGTTTGGCGAAGCGACCAGAGAGAGAGAACAAATTGTGTTCTCGATCAAACACTATTAATCAGAATTATGTCGCATTAAAAATGACAATACAATTGGATAATGCGATTGACTCGAGAGTGTTTCTGAATCTCCAGGATTAGTAGAACTAATGATACTTTCTCTAGACAGTAATAATAAAAATGTAAATCCAGTGTGTGATTGACTTGACAGCGTTTCTCAATCTCCAAGTTTAGTAGTAATAATAATAATAATACTTTTGCCCAAAAACTAACAATAAAAATATAAATTCAGTGTTAAAAACGGTGTCGTTTCCTTCGCCAGTAACCGGTTTGTCTAAATTTATCAATCGTGGATAGAGTAAACAGGGGTGTGTCCTCACACACTCAAAACTGACACAGATGGAAGGAAGTGTGTTATAGATTACTTACTTTCCGTGTCACAAATATATGGGATTGTCTGCGTTGTGCAAAGATTTCATTGGGATGTTTCTTCTTTTTCAAAAACATGCAAGCTCCAATAAAATACAGTGATAGCCAGAGAGAGCGAGAGAGATAAGCATCTGACCATAATTTAATGTAACATATTTTTAGCACAAAGTAGATCGGGAAAGATAGAGAGTTTTCACAAACAGAGGGCCGCCCGCATACACACAGCAGCTTATATCGAACCCGAAACAGAGCCGGAGAGCAGGTTAGCTTTAAAGTAAAATAATAACAACAGTCCTCGCATGGAGACGTCTCAAAGCGCTTCACGGGATACATTGCAAAGTCAATTGACTGTATTTTGTGGGCGCAACACGGCAGCCAATTGCTCAAGCAGTGTCCCACAAACAGTCGCGGGGCGAGTGAGTGACCAAAATGTGTTATTATCCATTAATAGTTATCTCTAATCTTACTATTAGACGTGTGGGCTGTTATACATACTTTATTCATATCCCTGAATCTGCCAAACTGGAATTTAATTAGAAGGCAGTTGCTCACTACTTTATCAGCTATTGTCAACTCAAACTCTTTTCAAAGTTTATAATCTTAACACTAACATTCTCTTCTCCAATATAATTAAACTCGCACATGAGTGACAATGATTCCTGTTAATTTGTTCCTCTTTAAAAAAAATCTCAAAATAATGAACTTAGTTGATGGATCTCTCGTCGACCACAAAATACTGAGTCAATCCACTTTACAGAATATTCCGAAATGTCTCAATGATGTAAAAAGGAGCTCTATCAAAAAAGCAAGGATTATTAATTCTTACGGGATATATACACTCAGCTGCAGAGATTGTCTCCGGGAAATGTCTAAAACAGCCCCCAATCATTTTTATTCATTGTTATCCTTGGATTCGACACAGCAAATTATCACATCATAAAAATCTTTACAGGAATTTACTGTGAATAAATCAAATATATTTTTTCTGCCCTTTAATGCAGTGCCTTTCTTGTCAAACGGACGCCTCAAAGCACTTTTTAACAGTAATAATAATATTCCTCGCATTTGATACAGTGCTTTATGTTGAAACATCTCAAAGGACTTCATATTGTGAAGTGAATTGACAGCGTATTTTGTGGGCGAAACTCTGGGGTGTTGTAGAGCAATGGTTAGCGCTCTCGGCTCGCAAGAAAGAGGACTTCGGCTCAACTCCTGGGCAGAGCGAAACTTACAGAGTTTCCTTATTCCACACGCTTCCATTTACCCCGCAGTAAATAGGAACCCAGCTGTTAATCAATTGACGGATTGCTTTCCGGGGTTAATAATCCCTTCAAACAAAATAATAATAATAATTTGGTCACTAAACAGTCAGTGGGACGCTGCTCTGCATAATTGGCTGCTGCGTTTCATCCACAATATACACAGTCATTTCACTTTATTGCGTGAAGCGCTTTGTGAGGTCTCCACAATGTGATAAGGCGCTATATAATAATAATATTCCTCGCATTTGATATAGCGGCTTATCACATCTTCTGGATGTCTCAAGCACTTCACAGAATATACTGTCAAATGAATTGACGGTATGTTTTATGGGCAAAACGCAGCAGCCAATTGTGCACAGCAATGTCCCTCAAACAGTCGTGGATTGAGTGACCAAATCATTATTATCATTTTTTTTAAATTTTGATGGAATTATTACCCTCGGAAAACCAATCGGCCAATCGACTAATAACTGGGTTCCTACTTACTGTTAGGTAAACAGGTGTGTGGAGTAAGGAAGTTTGCCCAAGGTTTTGTCCTGCCCCGGAATCAAACCCAAGTCCTCTCGCTTGCAACATCTGGGATGTCTCAACAAAGTGATAAAGCGCTATATCAAATGCAAGGATTACTATTATTATTATTATTATTGTTATTGAGGGATAGTTAATGTAGGCTTTATAGTGCTGCAGGGAAGATCAGATCTGCTTTCTGTTCACCAGCGTTGTCCAATGTTACAGATGCCGATGGCCAGTGCGGGACAGAGGAGGTCGAGAGGTTGGAAAAATTATCCCAGTCCGAGCAGACCGTCAAACCGGGCAAGAAGCGTTCTCGAGCGGCCTTTTCCCACGCTCAGGTGTTCGAGTTGGAGAGACGGTTCAACCACCAGAGGTACCTCTCCGGGCCCGAGAGAGCAGACCTGGCCGCGGCCCTGAAACTCACAGAGACCCAGGTCAAAATCTGGTTCCAAAACCGTCGGTATAAAACCAAGAAGAGACAGATAGCAGCGGAATTGTCTGTCATCTCACCACCCAACATGGCCAAAAAGGTGGCCGTGAGGGTTCTGGTACGGGACAACCAGAGGCAGTACAGTGCGGACGAGATATTAAGCCCTCCCTTGCTCTCCCTCTACCAGGCTTATCAATACTACCCCTACATGTACTGCCTGCCAGCCTGGGCTCCCACCTCCATGTCCCTCTGTGGAGGCTCCCATTGATGGCCAATTGGCCTTAATGTCAACAGCAGAAAACCTACCATTGCCTCACCAACCAACTGGAAACGATTCACCAAGAACTGAGCCACCAACCCCCACCCAAAGGCCAGAACACAACTTGTATTTATTTGTTGCTAGGACGTTAAATTTGGGTGTCAGTGTTAATTGTCGAGACTTTTTTTTTGTGTGGGGGGGGTGTGGGGTGTTGGGGGGTGGGATGGGGGGGGGGGATAGTTTTAACATCAAACCCATATTATAATGAGCAATTTGCAAATAATAGAGCGATAACTGGGGTGATTAAGAAGCGCAAATCCTGTTGGGTTGTGGATTCCCCCCCCCCCCCCCATCCATATGTTGATGGACAGTAGAAACCAGTCTTGTTTAACCCTTAAATGCTCATTTATCCCCGCGCTTTAACATTAACGCTTCTTATCCGCTCACTATAAGCTCACGGCACACGTTGTGCTGCGTGTTCCGCACAGAGCCGTCTATCCGCAATGCTCTTATTGAGGTTAATTGGACAATTGGATGTTGAATTATTTTTCAGACCCACGAAATTTTCTCTCTCCCCCCCCCGCGCCCCCCCAACCACAGAGCGGGATCGGATCCCCATTTTTTGTCACATTCTTCACCTTTTTTTTTATTCTATGCTATAAAATAAGAGGTTAATTTAAAATACTTTCTTAAAAAACACGTTTTTCGTTCTCTAAACCGCCCGAAAAACATGTGTATTTATCTCTTGTGACTCACTAAATGACCCTCTTCCCACACAAACAAATCTATAGTGAAATATATGTTGATAATTAGATTACAAATAACGATTCCCGAGTTATTTAACTCCAGGAGCAATGACTCTTACGTTGGAAGTCGATTTTATATATTCCCCGAAACGCGAATTTCGTTAAACTTTCGATGGATCAAACTTTTATTTAATAAAAAAAAGTTTTAAATGATAGACTGCAAGTCTTTCTATTCGCTGGGAAAATTGTGAAAACGATTTAATATTGCGCGATATATCTGAATAAAAAAAACACACGAATCCTTTGACCAGTGAGATTCGCTGTGGCTAATTTACCCCCGAGCAGTAAGCGCGATTCGCTGTGTGATAAGGAACAGTTAACACACTGTTTGGGGGAAAGTTGGGGGGAAAGAGACTCTATTTCTGAGGGGGGATTAAGAGTTAAAGTGTACACCTCGGGCAGAAAGTTGCCTCTAACTTTTTTTTAGTTAAACTAATAGCGGATTATAGCGAATGTCCTTTAGATTCGCTCTATCCGCCGTAACTCCTGAAACCGCAGTCACTTAAGTTTGATTTATTTTACCCGCATTAAAAAAAAATATTGTTTAAAGTGGTTTGATGTGGGACAGACAGGACTGAGAAGCCATAAAAATGCAAATGATTTTGGATTTACAGATAAGGTTAAACATATCCTCTGGTTCCTTATGATAAACAAATGTAACAGAAATATACCTTTTAATAACCTCACTTAAAGTACAAAACGAGTTACCAGAAATAACTATCAATCTCCACCGCTTAAACGATTTCCCTGTTTGTCAGAGCGAATGGTCGCTAATTGCGCCCCTGGTTGCGAAAGAACCCAGCAATGTGTGTTGCTGTTTCCCCCCCACCATCGCCCCCTCAGTACCGATTCATATTTATTTATTTTTCTTTTTAATAATTAATTTAAAAACTGCACAGTCAATAAAATGTCTCCAGGGAGAAAAAAATGCATCTTACTGCCCAAAGAAATCCATAACCTGTTTTACATGTAATGTGTTTTTTACATGTAATGTGTTCACCCACAGTACACACACCACACACATACACACAGCTCATGGCTCGTCAGGCTGACTTTATTGGAAAATAACAGAGAGAGAGAGAGGAGAGAGAGCTTTGAGCGATATTCAGCTGTATGTTAAATTTCAGTAAAGCTTTCGATATTCGCATTCGCTGATTTACTCTTCAGGGGAAGAACATTGCGGATTTTTACAGCTAATTGTTACGAACCACGTAACTTTCAGTTACAAAATAAATAATTACTAGAATTGAGAATGGTTCTATATCTTCAGTGAGAATCGAAAGTTTCTCTCTCTCTCTCTCTCTCTCTCTCTTTCTCCAACCAGACGAGACAGTCCAAATTCACCGTAGAAATAAATAATAATTATAATCGTTGTATTTGATATAGCGCTTTGTCGTGTTGTTGAGATGTCTCAAAGAGTATATTGTGAGTGAATATTTTGTGGACGAAATGTGGCAGCCAATTGTGCATAGCAGTGTCCCACAAACAGTCGTGGATTGAGTGACCAGATTATTATTTTTTATTATTATTTCTCCTGAGTCTTCCCCTGTTGAGACCCCTTTTGCCTTCAAAGCGAAGCATTGTGTGAAATTCTCGAACCCAGTCTGGATTCGGAAACTCTTTAAGAAATGCGGTTACCAGCTTGCAGACTGAGACACATTTACCGACTTACCCTAAAACTTTGAATTTTAAGACAAAAGAAAAGTCTCAGAGGCGAGGACTAGGCAGAATTTGGGGGCTGTATAGCCACAGTCTGCTTTGTAGATTTACCTTTATACATTGCCCTGTGGTGGCATATATGTTAACATTAATTAAATTATTAATAATTATGCATATATTAGTTACATTATTTATATATATTAATTCCCCCAGTTAGAGCACCTTCAGTGGCAGGGACACTGCGAAAATTATCTTTCCTGAAACGTGTTCATAGATTTTCCATACAGCATGTGTGTGCGTGAGTGTGTAACTGAAGGGGAGTTGGTTATTAACATCAAATAATTACTAGATAAGAGAGAGAAACAGCGTTTTAAAAATTGCTTCTGAATTACAAGCTGGAATGTGTTACCTGTGATTAAAGCTGGCACTTGGGTTTTGATTAAACCACCAATTTGGGTCACTCCAGTCAATAATAATGACAATAATAATAATCTTTGCATTTGATATAGCACCTTGACATGTTGTTGAGTCGTCTCAAAGTGCTTCACAGAATATACTGCAAAGTGAATTGACTGTATATTTTGTGATTGAAATGCGACAGCCAATTGCACACAGCAATGTTCCACATACAGTCGTGGATTGAGTGACCACATTAATTTTTTGTTATGCAATAAGACACTTGTTTCTCTGTCTGGATATATTTTTTATGCAATCACTGGGTGGCCTCATGTGTTCCCAGGTGGAACAGTTAATCTATTGGATAGGAAATATTTTCCTAGTGAGAGGAACAGAATGGTATCCGGTTTACAGGTGCTAAATTGAAACTGATGTAATGGTAGAGAGAGAGAGAGAGTAACAGTTTCAGATGATGGTTCCTATCTAGTTACCCTTCCCTGATTCCCCCTTCTCTCTACCCTCCCCCATGGAGACACTTTTAATAGGAAGGTGGTGGTGAGGTTTAAAACATATTCAAGTAAAATCAGTTAATTGATGCAGTGAGCTATATATTATAAGCACAGAGGAAGCGAGGGCGATTAGTTAATAATAATAATCCTTGCATTTGATATAGCCTCTTATCACATCATTGAGCCGTCTCAAAGCGTTTCACGAATGCACTGTGAAATGAATTGACTGTACATACTTTGTGGATGGAGTTAACACCCACATAACTGTTTGCTCAATTAACCCGTTCATCCCACATAAATGTGGTTGACAGAAAATGACATTATAAAAACAAACAGCTCTTGAGATGTCAGTACAAAGTCTATTCGACTTTAAACAGGCTACTTTACCCATTTTGTTTTGTGTGTGTATGGGAGGGGGGGAAGAGGTAATTAATATCATATAATTGCAAAATAACCAATAGAAAGAACGCTTTTAAAAAATGCTTTCCGAGTTACACATCCAGATAATAATAATAATAATAATCCTTGCATTTGATATAGCGCTTTTCACGTCGGGAGGACGTCCCAAAGCGCTTCACAGAACACACTGTAAAGTGAATTGACTGAATATTTGTGGGCGAACGCGGCAGCCAATTGCGCACAGCAATGTGCCACAAACAGCCGTAGATTGAAAATGACCCATTTATTATTGTTTTGGTTTTGGAGGGATTATTATTAGGCTCTGTGTGGAGTAAGGAAACTTGCCCAAGGTTTCGCCCTCTGCCTGGAATTGAACTCAGGTCTCTCACTTGCAAAGCGAGTGCTCTAACCACTGAGCTACAGGACTGACAATGAAACTGTATTGGCTTCTCGCAGGTGGTAGAAGAGATTTCATGGTCATTGTAGAGTCCTGTAGTGTAGTGTTCAGAGCACTCACCTCGCAAGTGAGAGGACCTAGGATCGATTCCCAGATGGGGCGAAACCTTAGAAATGTTCTTACTCCATACGCCTCTGTTTACCTAGCAGTATTGTTAGTCGATTGGTGGATGGTTTTCCATGGATAATAACCCCTTCAAAAAACAGAATGAACAAAAATCCATGACTGTTTATGGGTCACCTCTGTGCATAATTGGCTGTCACATTTCACCCACAAAAGATACAATCAATTCACTTTACAATATATTCTGTGAAGTGCTTTGAGACGTTTCTCTGTTGAGTTTTAGAGTCTTGGATTTTATAAAACGGGAGCTTATCATAATATAATCCTTGCATTTGATATAACGCTTTTTACGTCTCCTAGACGTCTCAAAGCGCTTCACAGAATATAGCATAAAGTGAATTGACTGTATATCTGTGGGCGAAACGTTGCAGCCAATTTCACACAGCTGTGTCCCTCAATCAGTCGTGGATTGAGTGACCAAATTATTATTATTTTTTTACATTTCACCCTGCTGTCCGATGTCATCAATCTCTCCCTGTCCACCGGTTCAGTTCCCACCCTCCTAAAAACGACAGTCATCACCCCCATCCTGAAAAAATCTTCCCTGGATCCATTCCTCCTCTCCAGCTATCGCCCCATCTCTAACCTCCCATTCCTCTTCAAGGTTCTGGAACGAGTTATCGCGTCCCAGCTCCGCTCCTTTCTCTCTCGCCATTCCTTCTTTGAACCCCTCCAATCCGCGCTGCCCACAGCACGGAAACAGCCCTGGTCAAAGTCACTCATGACATTCTGAACATCTGTGATCAGGGCTCCCTCTGCCTCCTTGTCCCCCTCGACCTCTCTGCTGCCTTCGACACTGTCGACCACTCCATCCTCATACACCGCCTCTCCGCTTTACTCAATCTTCACGGACCTACCCTTGCCCGGTTCGATTCCTATCTCTCTCACCATCTCCAATTCGTTGCCTCTAACGGTTTCTCTTCCATCGCCC